GCAACCCCCTTTTTCCACCAAACATAACGATGGTCATTATGGCCAAACAGTTCTATTTTTGTTTCATCAGACCAGAGGAAATTTCTCCAAAAAGTACGATCTTTGTCCCCATGTGCAGTTGCAAACCGTAGTCTGGCTTTTTTATGGCGGTTTTGGAGCAGTGGCTTCTTCCTTGCTGAGCGGCCTTTCAGGTTTTGTCAATATAGGACTTGTTTTACTGTGGTTATAGATACTTTTGTACCTGTTTCCTCCAGCATCTTCACAAGGTCCTTTGCTGTTGTTCTGGGATTGATTTGCACTTTTCGCATGAAAATACGTTCATCTCTAGGAGACAGAACGCGTCTCCTTCCTGAGCGGTATGACGGCTGCATGGTCCCATGGTGTTTATACTTGCGTACTATTGTTTGTACAGATGAACGTGGTACCTTCAGGCATTTGGAAATTGCTCCCAAGGATGAACCAGACTTGTGGAAGTCTACCTTTTTTTTCTGAGGTCTTGGCTGATTTCTTTTGATTTTCCCATGATGTCAAGCAATTGACTCAAATGATGTCAATTAGCCTATCAGAAGCTACTAAAGCCATGACACAATTTTCTGGAATTTTCCAAGCTGTTTAAAGGCACAGTCAACTTAGTGCATGTAAACTTCTGATCCACTGGAATTGTGATACAGTGAATTATAAGTGAAATAATCTGTCTGTAAACAATTGTTGGAAAATCTACTTGTGTCATGCACAAAGTAGATGTCCTAACCGACTTGCCAAAACTATAGTTTGTTAACAAGAAATTTGTGGAGTGGTTGAAAAACTAGTTTTAATGACTCCAACCTAAGTGTATGTAAACTTCCAACTTCAACTGTACCACAAAACCTCAGAACATCTTATAACTCCTCTGCAGTAGAATCTCATCCACCCAGGTACTTCTCTGCAGCTGCCACCTACACTCATTAAAAACCCACTGCCCCATTCCACTACTTTGACCCTATCTGCTCCTGCACCATGCCAATGGCCTGAGAGGACGGGACACCACCACTCAACACACCCTGTAACTCTCGTTTCCCCAAATATTTCTCTGCAGCTGCCACCACAACATCTATTTTCTGTGATTTACATTCCATTTCTGTGGTACAGTTGATAACCATAGCTATGAACGCTAAGAAGCCAAACTTACTGAAGCATATACCACTCGTTGGTATATTCCTCTGTGCTGGCGCAAATATACTACTCATTGACAAATCCTCCCCTACTTTCTTCACTGCCTCAGCATACGACACCTTCTGCACTACTCTGACACTAGCCACCTCAACCTCCCTCTCTCGCACCAAACACTTCTGATTCCCAGCAATATGGGCACCCCTACAGTTGACACGCACAACTTTATCCAACGAAACTACACAACCCTCTATCCCATGCCCTCCTGCACACTTCCCACATCTTGGAATCTCCCTCCTAAAACTGCTGCGACATGACCATAAACGTTGCACCTGAAACAGTGCAGTGGATTCGGCACAAAAGCTCTAACAGGATAACTGATATATCCTAACATGACTTTGTCTGGTAGAGACTCTGACTCAAAACTCAGAAGGACTGACAATGACTCCTCTGTTTCACCACGCTACCCACTAGGTCTACGTCGCACCAAACGGCAAGCCTCACCAACACCAGGAATCTTCAACTTCAATTGCTCCACCTCAACACTTAATGCTACCCCAGAAATCCCTCTTTTCAATACTGCCCTGTTCCTAAGAGCAAAGCAAGAAACAGATCTTGACCCAAGTTGCGTGACACGGAGTGCCTGCTCCCTCTGGTCAGAAGAAACACAAACAAATATCACAAGTCCACAGGTTACCTTCACTGATTTAACTGCACCTAACTCCTTCCTCACCCACCCTGAAACCACAAATGGATCTGCCAAAAAGCAAGGGTCCACTTTCTCCAAAAATGTCACTCCTACTGGACCAAATTCTTCTTTATCCATTAATGCCAGGCTTGGGTTCCGAGCTCTTCACCACACCTTCCACCTCACTTAACTCGCCCTCATTCACTTCCATTTCACCTCTAGATCTCAGTCTGGTGCACGGCTCACTCTGTTTGCACTTGACACCAATCTTCATCGACACTCCATCTCCATTTTTATCACCATCTTTCTCAAATTCAAATCCAACCTCTGCTTTCCTCATTGTCTTCGACCTCTTCTTCCTCTTTTTCCCCTCCATTCCTCCTCAGAAATCTTTCTGTCTCCCTGTTCCAAAATTCCTGTTCTTGGTCCATGATTCCTCCTACAACAGTTTACAGGGCGGCAGGTAGCTTAGTGGTTAAGAGCGTTGTACCAGTAACCGAAAGGTCGCTGGTTCTAATCCCCAAGCCGACTAGGTGAAAAATCTGTCGATGTGCCCTTGAGCAAGGCACTTAACCCTAATTGCTCCTGTAAGTCGCTCTGGATAAGAGCGTCTGCTAAATGACCTATTTATTTATTTTTTATTTTATAAAAGTTTGCTAGTTTTATCAACGTTGCCTCTGGACCAGGACCATAGATGGCCTACACGTACTGAGACAGAGGGGTGCTGTTTCGTTCGCTCGGATGCTTTCTCCAATGAGATATGTTCAGCCTCTTGCGAATTGAAGGAAATTTATGAAATAAAGAGAGATAAATAATTTGTTATGTTTATTTTGTATTGTTAGATTTTTGGGGGAAGCCTGGCTTCCCTCGGCACCATGAATACACGCCACTGCTACTCACTAACACATGACTGTACACACTCACCCACGCACGGCACACATGCACCCACACATGTATGCATGCACACACAGGGGCGTCATGCTCATAGGGGGCACAGGGGCATGTGCCCCCTCAGATTAGTCAATTTTTTTTATTTATATATATTTTGTTGTTGTTGTTGTTTCTCTGTAATACTACTAGCCACCTAGCAATTTTATGAAGTTCGCTTTAGCTAGCTCAGATAGATTCCTAATCTCCCAACCTCATAACTAGCTACCAAAAAGGCAATTCATGCTATCAATCAAGTTAGAGTAGCTAACTTGTCTAACTATCTTAGCTGGCATGCCTGCTGGAAAGGTAGGTAGACTTTAGAAAAGGAAGAAATTACGAAATGTACTGAATAATATTCCTTACAATCTTTTACTCAGATTTTAGCAGAGAAGCATATTTAGTTTCTTAAAATAAATAACCACCAGACAGCTCAAGGAGTATGCTTAGATATGCAGAAAAATAAACACCCCTTCAAATTAGTGGATTCGGCTATTTCAGCCACACCGACAGGTGTATAAAATCAAGCACACCGCCATGCAATCTCCATAGACAAACATTTGCAGAAGAATGGCCTTACTGAAGAGCTCAGTGACTTTCAACGTGGCACCGTCATATGATGCCACCTTTCCAACAAGTCAGTTCGTCAAATTTCTTCCCTGCTAGAGCTGCCCTGGTCAACTGTAAGTGCTGTTATTGTGATGTGGAAACGTCTAGGAGCAACAACAGCTCAGCCGCGAAGTGGTAAGCCACACAAGCTCACAGAATGGGACCGCCGAGTGCTGAAGCACGTAGCGCATAAAAATCGTCTGTCCTCGGTTGCAACACTCACTACCAAGTTCCAAACTGCCTCTGGAAGCAACGTCAGCACAATAACTGTTCGTTGGGAGCTTCATGAAATGGGTTTCCATGGCCGAGCATCCGCACAAAAGCCTAAGATCACCACGTGAAATGCCAAGCGTCGGCTGGAGTAGTGTAAAGCTCGCTGCCATTGACTATGGATAAGTGGAAACATCAACATCAGTGCCCGACCTCACTAATGCTCGTGGCAGAATGGAAGCAAGTCCCACAGCAATGTTCCAACTTCTAGTGGAAAGCCTTCCCAGAAGAGTGGAGGCTGTTATAGCAGCAAAGTGGGGACCAACTTCATATTAATGCCCATGATTTTGGAATGAGATGTTCAAAGAGAATGCTTTTGGTCATGTAGTGTATATATGAACTCAATGAAATAACAAGTGACATACTGATAGACATGCTGGTAGACATGGATATAAACTAGCAGGTTGACGTTTATTGTGATGAATCTTGCCCTGGAGGCAGAACTGAGCAATTTCGCTTGATTGGCCAGTTGCAAAGTCAAAATTGGCTTTATCGTAAAAATGTATGAAAACAAAAATGAGCTTTTTGGTCTTAAGGTTAGGGTTAGGCATTAGGGTTAGCAGTGTGGTTAATGTTAAGGTTAGGTTTAAAATCAGATTTTATGACTTTGTGATTGTGCTAGTTAGTGACCTCTCTGCAGAGCTGCCTCCAGGTCAAGATTCATGACAATAAATGTCAACCTGCTATAAACTAACTCACAAGCTCAAAGAAAAGCACCCTCTGACTTTGTCATGACAAAGATGCTGCTGCTCCCTGCTGGGTATTTTGTGTAATGCATGTAGAAAGAAGGCCAAAAACGGCTATAATTTATTATATTTAGCAGGCACTTTTATCCAAAGCCACTTACAGTAATACATTTTATGTATGGGTGGTGTCAGGATTCGAACCCACTACCCTAGCATTAGACGTGCCATGCTCTACCAACTGAGCTACAGTACAAGTCTGGAAGGGAGCTAAAAAAATGGAACAATACTGAACAATGATGAACTTGGCATTTTCTTTACTTAAAATAAAGGAACAACAATCTAAAAAGACCCACATTAAAATTTGTAAAAAAAACTGAAACATGCTGAGAATTATACGATTTCTGCAAGCTACATAAACATGATATTATGAATAACTATTCATAATAGTTTTTCGGGGGGCCAGTCTGAAAAATAAAACAATTATGTATGCACTCTGTAAGTCGCTCTGGATAAGAGCATCTGCTAAAATGACTAAAATGTAAAGAACAAAACTGCAGTGCCTCTGAAATGTATTTCTGTTTACTATGACAAGTTTAGAATGATTCTATCTCATAATAATAAGGCTAATGATGAATGGATGCTGTAGATTTCTCCTCTTGTTGTCACTGTCTTCATTCCGTAGCATCATAGTACTCTACACATTCAAGAGACAAAGAGAGACTTGGAAACCATCTGATGAACACATTCTTCACAAGTGTTTAGTATAATCAGCCTCATTATAACCCACAGTATCGCAATCACCATCACTGTCAGCACCCTCATCAGCATCATTGTGATCCTCCTTATTGTAGTCAGCACCAACACCTCCAACCAGCATCACATAACTCTCACATTATCTAACAGAGGGTGCTAGTGGGATCCATAGAATTAGCAATTAGTAGTAGTAGTAATTTAATAAGATCTCTATGGTTATATCCTACATATTAGAAGAGTGTTACACAGCCCCTTACATGATCAATAAGGGCTTTGAGACTTCCCATCCCCCAGCTCAATGTTCTGTATGTACAATACCACAGATGATTGAGTCATTCTATTTCTATGGTAACTCCCTCCCTATGTTTTATCTGGTGTTCTGCTATGGACACCCATGTGTTAACGTTAGTACCGCGATATGTGTTATACAGATATACAGCAGAGATGTACAGAGTGTTCCAGTAGTGTACCTGTTGCTGGAGGTATGTCAGCCCCCACAGTCCTGGTAGCGCTGGGTGGGGGAGGAGGTGGGACTGCCCTCCTGGATGATATCACACATATGTATCATTGTTATCTCTGGCACACATTGTGTCACAACATCAGACTATATAAGTGTGGGTACAGTAGGTATTATGAATGGGGTTGTGTTGTGAATCACCTGATGGTGTCTCTGTGTGGGGAGGGTGCTAGCTCCAGGGGTTCAGCGGTGTTGTGGTGGACCAGGCTAGGGTGAGGCTGGGGTGGAGGCACCCAGGTTGGGTAGGGCAGGTAGGCCGGGGCAGGCTGGTAGTGGTGGTGGTACACCTCTGGATCCTCCTCCTGCTGCTGCAGTATCACTGAGGACCAGCTGGCCTGGAGGGGAGGATAAAAACAGCCCATTCAGACACAGTAGTGCACTATATAGTGAATAGGGTGCCATTTGGGGTGCATCCTCACTCTCCACTGCAATGGGTTGGACGGCCAACTGCTTATGGAGCCTCAACACAACCACTAGACTGACTAGGAACAGTGTGACCCAAAACAGACTCCAAAAGTAACGTTTAGGTGCATTAGCTAATGTGAGGAGCCACTCTGACCTCGGTCTGTTTACTTTTCCAGAATGTCATATCAGATTGAGAATATCTTTACCTACTGAAACACATGTTTTCAGATTAATAATGTAAGATGTGTGTGCTGCACACGGACAGGCTGGATGAATAGTTGGCACATGTGACTGACAGTAAATGTACCTCAGGAGTATAGGGAGGATGGAACTGGGAATAGCCAAATGACTGTACCTCAGGGGTAGGAGGAGGATGGGACTGGGAATAGCCAAATGACTGTACCTCAGAGGTAGGAGGAGGTATAGCCGGGGGAAGTAGGGGTGCTGAGGGTGCTGCTGCACCCCCTGATAAATTGATTTTTTTTTTTTTTTTATGTTCCCCCACAAAAGTATTGAACTAGGCCTTTATTACTCCTGTTATTGAGCAGAGAAAAACACTAGTCAGCCACTCCCATGGGGCTGGGAATGGCCAAATGACAGTACCTCAGGGGTAGACAGAGGGTGGAGCTGGGGCTGGGAATAGCCAAATGAGCTGAGGGCTGACATGGTCATGTTGTTCATGATGACTTGATGCATCTGGGCATTCTGGATCATCATCAGCTCCACCAGGTCTGGAGAATAACAGAGAGCAACGTTATATATACACACACACATATTTACACCTCCGTGGAAGCTAACTTCTTCTGTATGTCTGTTGTGTTGTCCTTTATCTTTTAGGTGACAATCAACCCTTTTCAACCCGCATGGTGTCCAATCATGAGTTATAAATCAAATCTGCCATCCTAAATGTTCTATCCTCTCCCTTCCTCAATTTCTGTCTGACATCATTCCAGCAATATGAAAATACAGATTTTGCCCACTGGCTGCTTGTCAGGGTACTCTGGCGACAACCTGATGCAACATTTAGCAAAACGACACTATATTGTACAACTCTGTCAAAATGAGAAGAATCCTACCTACTCATTGAATTATATCAGAAATAATGCCAATGCTGATATGAACCTCAATATAAGTGAGTTGAAAGTAAGAGGAGCAGAAAGTCAGTCAGAGCAAACTATCACTGCCCTGGCCTCAGCAACCAACAGACAGACAATGGTGAGGCTAGAGGTGGAGAAGGAGCGCTATAAAGAGCAAGACTGCAATTATAGATGGTTGAGCTCTGGCCCTTTGGTCCAATTGGCACCTGCAGTGACATTCACAGTTTCACAGACACAGACATACACACACAGAGAACGAGTGAGGTGAGAAAATATACTGTATAATATTGCACGCATATGTTGGAGACAGAAAGACATCTCAGAGAAACAGAGACGTGGGCTCTGTCTGAAAAGTTATCTTGACAGCCTGCCTACCATACGCACCCTGCTTGACGTGTCCTGGCCGGATGGAGGGAGTGGGAAATGACACGGCAGCATGGAGCTGCTGTAGGATGGTGGTGGGCTGCTGGGAAGCCTGGGAAGGAGACATGGGACTGTAATGAGGATCTCTGCCTGGAGGCATATAGCCAGGGAGAATATCTATCTCCCATATCTAATACTGCCATGGATGAACTACTGTTGAGAGGCAGGCAATATCAGCCCACTCACTCAACATAGTTAACAATAGCTATGCCTGATACAACATCCAATTAAAACGATAAAGTAGTGAGCCTCAAGCTATTAAGACAATACTCAAATCACAGCTGTTGTAGGCTAAAGATCCTCCCTTGATGATGCTGCATATGAAGTCAATGGCATATAGAGAGGCAGCTTTATCTGTAAATTAGTGTGGGTGTTAAATATCACATAGAATTACACAAGTAAACAGGTCAACTGTATTTTCTGCTATAAAAAAATCCCTGTTGGCCACACTTACAGGCTGTTGAATTATTTGCACATTCTGTGCGTCCTGGTTCCACTGCTGAAACTGTGGGTAAGTATCATCTGTCCATGCCATTGAATTTCATATGTCGGTAGAAAATAGAGCTGTAAACAGTAACTGAAGATAAACCTTGTTTTGATCCAACCCAGGCTTGGAGTAGACACGCACCAGTTGCGTTGCCAAGGCGTCAAAGCGCAAACAAGAAGTGCGAGAAATATGCACAGGTTGTTGCGCACATAGAGGCTGGTACGTCACTCACTGTAATGATTATGCTGCTATGGGATATTTAAACTAGGACTAATTAGTCGCTCTCTCACACACATTTATTTTCTTACCATTTAGGCCTATATGATGTAGTCGAGTTCTAAAAGTTTATAAAAGAGCAAATGAGGTGGTCACACTTGAATTGATTTTGACAGCTGTGGCACAATGGTAGCCTTCTTCCATGCAGCTAAGTGAGTGAATCCATAAAAGTAGCCTATAATTGTGATTTCCCGCCCCTAGACAATGCGCCTGGCAAGTCCATATGGTCACATGCGTCAACGTTGACGGAAGGGGCAGGGAACAGGTGGGCCTCCGCCACGTAGGTCTCTCTCTAAATTAAGTGGGCAAAGTTATGGACAGCTGGGATAGGCCTGGGCCAGCTCTCTTTCACTTCATAGACCACTAATTACAGCTTCCATTTAACGAGTTTCTCTCTGACTCCCGCTATCTCCGTTCTCCTCCTCAGTGTCTCTCTCTCTCCTTTCCTTCTCCTATATTCTGTCACAGTCTCTCACGCGGCTACATCCGCCCACACAGCAGCATTTCAAACGGTGTAATTAATCAATGTGGGCGCCATCTCGGAATGATTCCCTCTATTTTTAAAAATCCCTGTCACCAGGGCCATTTCTAGTATTTTTGGGGCCCTAAGCGAGATTTGGTTGTGGGGTCCCACCACTCCTGGACAAAACATTTTAGTGCCCCCCACCCCCTCTTGGCAGAGGAAAAAAAAAAAATCGCTGCTTTAAAGTGAATGTCCTGCAATTCCATAAAAATTTGCCATGGGGCATAGAGACATGCAGTTCTACACATTTTGTCATGGGATTGAGAGAAAATGTTGCCGTTTTAAAGCTAATTTCCTGCAATTCTGAGTGAGAGTGACTAACAAAATCAACGGGGGCCCCCTGGAGGTCAGGGCCCCTGGACACCAGTGTTGGGCACAATTCGAATTGAAGGCAGTCAATTGATTTGAATAAAACATTCTGAAACACTTTTGAAATAAATAGCTTCTACTTTTCAGTGTATTGAGAAGTCGTAGAAAAAAATGCAACTTTTAGATTATTTAATTGTGAGTTTAGTTTACTTCCTAAATTGACTGCTGGGCATGTGCCTTGCGATTCTAGAAGGTTTACATGGCTAGCAATCTATAAAATGTTAGCTGACATAGGCTAATTGAGTGACTGTCAATGACTAACAGAGGAAAACTGCTGATTTTTCTATAAAACTAGGGTACCAGTTAGCATTTCTGTTTGGAGCTGTTACAAAGTCATTCATAATAATTTGCCTTTTTTCAAGCGACTACATTAAGATATGAAGGGGGAACATAGATACATTCAATATAATTAATGAGTTCAATCAAAACCTATCTGTAATGAATACTCAGGGAGAAAAAGGTGTAGATTCACACGCAGAGCGAGGCAGGTGTTTATTACCCCTTCACAGAAGGCAGGAATCATGGTCACAGACAGGCAATGGTCATTCAGGTAGGCAAACAGGCAGGTGAAACAAAACTAGGACTGAAGGCTAAAACTGGTTCTCACAAACGAGCTAGGAAAAGGCTTAGTAGAGTCAAAACAAACAATACCTCACAAGGCACAAACAGAATGAACTGAACTAAATAAGGAGCTGATGAGACCAGGTGAGTAACAAACACAGGTGAAATCAATGAACAAAAATGAAAGACAGGGCTACGTTCAAGAACACAAAGAAACAGGGCTACGTTCAAGAACACAAAGAAACAGGGCTACGTTCAAGAACACAAGGTGAACTAAGAAAATAAATACAGAACCTTACACTATGTTTAAACCCTTTCTCATGCTTGGAGTCTTCAAAGATTTGGCAAAAATCATGTGACATAAAAAACAGTGACCTTGATCCTGTGAAATTCCTGGATATTGCTGTCAGTCTCTTTTTTTTATGGAGGTCTCAGAAGTGTACCGAAACCTCTTAAAATTTCGTATATATCCCTATGTTATGATGTGAAAACAGTTTTCATGGGCACACATATTCAAAATAATGTCTGTGATTGAAAAATCCAATGCTTCAAACTGAAATAGTAACTTAAATGAGGTTCTTTAATACTTATGCATAATAGTTGTTTGATGTGCTTTTGCAGCCTGGTCTCATAGGCTAGATGTAACATAGTAAATGTAAATCCGGGACACTGAAATTAGTATGATACACTACATGGCCAACAGTATGTGAACACCCCTTTAAATGAGTGGATTTGGCTATTTCAGCCACACCCGTTGCTGACAGATGTATAAAATTGAGCACACAGCCATGCAATTGTAACTGTAAATGCTGTAAATGCTGTTAACTATAAATGATGTCATTGTGAAGTGGAAACGTCTAGGCACAACAATGGCTCAGCCGCGAAGTGATAGTGTCACGACTTCCGCCGAGGCTGCCTCCCCTCCTTGTTCAGGCTGGTTTCAGCGTTCGTCGTCTCCGGCTTACTAGCTGCTGCCAATCCATTTATCATCACTCCACTAGTCTTGTCTAATTTATCACACACACCTGATCCTTATCCCCAATTAGTCATTGTATAAGTGTTCCCTCTGCTTCCTTGTCTGTGTGTGTGTTTGTTTGTAGTGAGCTGTGTGTAGCTCGGTTGAGCTACCCTTTGTTGTTGCCAGGGTAGATTTTCCCCTGTGCCTGAGTTTTGTTGTCACATGCTTGCGCAACTGTTTATCGACGGAATAAACTCTTTGGATGCGTATTACTCTCCTGCGCCTGACTCCTTCTATCACACGCATCACAGATAGGCCACACAAGCTCACAGAACGGGACCGCCGAGTGCGTAGCGCGTAAAAATCGTCTGTCCTTGGTTGCAACACTCACTACCAAGTTCCAAACTGCCTCTGGAAATAACGTCAGCACCAGAAATGTTCGTCGGGAGCTTCATGAAATGGGTTTCCATAGCTGAGCAGCCGCACACAAGCCTAAGATCACCATGCACAATGCCAAACGTTGGCTGAAGCGGTGTAAAGCTCAGCACCATTGGACTCTGGAGCAGTGGAAACGTGTTCTCTGGAGTGATGAATCACACTTCACAATTCAGCAGTCCAACGGACAAATCTGGATTTGTTCTGGGATTGTTTTTCATGGTTTGGGCTAGGCCCCTTAGTTCTAGTGAAGGTAAATCTTAACGATACAGCATGCAATAACATTCTAGACGATTCTGTGCTTCTAACTTTGGGGCAACAGTTTGGGGAAGGCCCTTTCTTGTTTCAGCATGACAATGCCCCTGTGCACAAAGCAAGGTCCATACAGAAATGGTTTGTCGAGTTCGGTGTGAAAGAACTTCACTGGCCTGCACAGAGCCCTGACCTCAACCCCATCAAACAACTTTGGGATGAATTGGAACGCCGACTGCAAGCCAGGCCTAATCGCCCAACATCAGTGCCCGACCTCACTAATGCTCTTGTGGCTGAATGGAAGCAAGTCCCGCAGCAATGTTCCAACATCTAGTGGAAAGCCTTCCCAGAGGAATGGAGGCTGTTATAGCAGAAAAAGGGGGGACCAACTCCATATTAATGCCCAGTATTTTATAATGAGATGTTCACATACTTTTGGTCATGTAGTGTATGTTACGTTTGGTAAGGTTACGTTGGGGTGGATGGGTAGGCATATAACGCAAACGTCTAGCAACCCGAAGGTTGCGAGTTCAAATCTCTTCATGGACAAATTCATAACATATTGTACGTTTTGCAAATTCATAACATATAATATGAATTGTAATTCGTAACATATCCTAAATGGAGTGTCTCGGATTTATGTACAGAATAATACGAAATGCTCTGAGACCAGGTTGACGTTTGATGTCTGAATGATGTCAAGTGATAAAGAGCTTGTGTGATACTGCACTCGATTTAAAAACAGCCAAAGTGCAGAAATTAATGTTGATCTTGAGGATTGACAGAACATTTTGGTGTCTATATTGTTAAACAGTCAAGATAATTTGCCTACTTCATTAAATGACATTAAATCAAGATTCCTGAGGTAAGATTAAAGTCCTTGTACATTTTGAATCTTTGTTTTCTGAGCAAATGAGGAATGGGGAGCATGAAAAAATTGCTTGTTTTTTTGTTTTTGCATATAAAAACAAAATATTACTTGATATTTCAATGTTAAAATGTGGGTGGGGTTAAATACGGAATGCCTGGTTAAGTGCACAGTCAACACTTCCTGTCCTTTCAAAGTAGGAATTCACCCTTCTAACTCCATTCTATGAATCTATGAATCTATTAATTAATTGATTAATAGCTGCTCATACCATGCCACAGTGCCAAGATAAGGTAAGGTCAATTTCTGCATAAGATTTTGCTGCGTTCAAAACAACT